CTACTACTACTACTACTGCTACTACTACTACTGCTACCTCTGCTACCTCTGCTACTACTACTATTACTACCACTACCATCACTACTACTACTACTACTTACAGCACGACTACTACTACTAATACCAGCACTACTAATACTGCACTATTGCCATAACTACTACTACTGCTGCTGCTGCTGCTACTGTTACTATTACTATTGTTATTGCTATTGCTATTACTATTACTATTACTATTACTATTGCTACCACCACTACTACTACTACCACTACTAGTACTAGTACCATTACTACTACTAGCACTACAATTTCTACTGCTACCAGTACTTCTAAAACTACTACTACTACTACTACTACTAGCACTACTATTGTAACTACTACTACTACTACCAGTTTGCACACACACACACACACACACACAAACACACACACACACACACACACACGCACGCACGCACACACACACACACACACACACACACACACACACACACACATACACACACACCATAGTTATTTATTATGCACAGAGTTCTAACTGCCTCACAATCCCCCGACAGAACCCCGAGGCTCCGCAGAATCACACTCCTCATCTACCTCAAGTTCCTCATGATCTCGATGGTGTTCTTCGGCATCGAGCTCAACACCGGGCGATTCACCATCAACCCCTTCCTGTACATGTCAGTCATGGGGGTCATGGATCTACCTGCCTATACCCTCATGGCCCCCATTCTGGTTAGGCTTGGGAGGAAGGGCCCGCTCGTCGTGTGCTTTTTCATCAGCGGTGCCATTATTCTAGGACTGGCCTTCGTCGCCCCAAGTAAGTTTAGGCTTTAAGGGGGAACGTGGGCGTACGAAGCTTTGTTTTGAAAGAACCCTTGTGCTGGGGGGGAGGGGGGCACGCGGTGGATGTGTGGTCTACAGATCCCGGGGCTGTGTTGACTCTGTTGACTCTGTTGACTCTGTTGATTCTGTTGATTCGGTCGCCAACCTGCCCTTTTAGTCTTCCCACCTTTCGCTAGCCTCACTGCCTGTGCTAGCCTCACTGTAAGGCCAGCTACGCAAAAACGGCCCTCGCAGTGCCACACAGGGAGGGTATGTGTTGCACAGGGAAGGTGTATGTTGCATAGGGAGGGTATATGTTGCACAGGGAAGGTATATGTTGCACAGGGAGGGTATATGTTGCACATGACTCGGTATTCAGAAGTCAAATGATCTCTGCTCTGACTTTCTTTGAGGAATTGGGGGACAGGCAGCTCATTGGAAGTGCTGGTGGGGAACTCTTTGGCTCTCATTAATCTTCTGCCTTGCTTAATACACTGATTGAATTGAAGTATTGTTCAATTTTCTAAGTTTTCTTTACTAAGGATGGGGGGAAAAGACTATAATATTCAAATTATCCTCTGTGCTAAGTTACTAAAACTAGCCATCTTGTAGGAAAGTCAGTGTAGATACATTGAGGATGTAATGTTATGAGCCATTTATC